GCTGCAATCCTGTCTTCAAGGTCTGAAATTCTATCTTCACTTTCATTAAGGCGGTTTTTACAACTTTCAGTGGAGTTTTTTATTTCCTGTATATCTCTGTGCATCTGCATTATGTATTCTGTTTGTTTCTTATATTGCTCGTCTAGGGATTCTATCTTTTTGTTTAGTTCCTCCAATTTTTTATCTGTGTTTTCTTTAGATATATTTAGAATCTCTTTCATTTCTTTTATCATTTCTTCTTTTATCTGGGAGATTATTTCGAGTTTGAATTTCTTTAAAGCTTCCTGGAGTTGCTTGTCAATTTCAGTGGCTATTGTGTCCGATATATGAGGTGGATGGGATATATTTTCTTCTATATACATCGCTCCTAGGGTTTCTTGAGATGGGCTGGAGGTTTGAGGTTGTAATTTGGTCTTTCGTTTTGTCATTTTCCTATATTTCTGTGTTTCAAGTGTTATTTGAAAGCTTCCTCAGGATCTGTTGAAAATCCCCTTCTATGTTTGGAGCTACTGAGACTCTGGCGCCACGCTACCCCAAGCCATTAGGCCTACAGAACCAGTGGCCCTCCTCTGCCTGCTCAGAACTCCACAGTTCCAGACAAGCTGGGCCTCAGAGACACTGTGCGCCCACCTGCCCCTTGGAAGCTCCACAGTTCTTCAATCGCAGCCGGGTTAGGGTACTCACCACAGGCCGCAGTGCTTCAGGAACCTGTGGACCCTCTCTGGTTGCAGAGATATCCACAGTCCTCCAGACACATGGAGAGGCCGATGCAGGCACCCCAAATCTGCCCAGCTCCTCCTCTGCAGACCAATGGCCAGGCGCGGCAGCTAAACAGGCTGGGCTAGGCTGGTAGTGTGGGCCAGCCCACCTATCGGGAGCTCAGCAGGTCTCCAAATGAAGCCGGAATGGGGAGGCTGATGTGGAAGCCTCAAACCCACCTCTCCCCTTCACTGCACCTGGAAGCCTGAGGGAACTCCAGCAGTCTGGGTGCAGATATCCAGAGTCCTCCAGACACGCAGAGAGGCCGGTGAGGGCACCCCAGATCTGCCCAGCCCCTCTTCTGCAGGCCTATGGCCAGGCGCGGCAGCTAAACAGGCTGGGCTAGGCTGGTAGTGTGGGCCAGCCCACCTATCGGGAGCTCAGCAGGTCTCCAAGTGAAGCCGGGAATGGGGAGGCTTATGTGGAAGCCTCAAACCCACCTCTCTCCTTCACTGCACCTGGAAGCCTGAGGGAACTCCAGCAGTCTGGGCGCAGATATCCAGAGTCCTCCAGACACGCAGAGAGGCCAGTGAGGGCACCCCAGATCTGCCCAGCTCCTCCTCTGCAGACCTATGGCCAGGCGCGGCAGCTAAACAGGCTGGGCTAGGCTGGTAGTGTGGGCCAGCCCACCTATGGGGAGCTCAGCAGGTCTCCAAATGAAGCCGGGAATGGGGAGGCTGATGTGGAAGCCTCAAACCCACCTCTCTCCTTCACTGCACCTGGAAGCCTGAGGGAACTCCAGCAGTCTGGGCGCAGATATCCAGAGTCCTCCAGACACGCAGAGAGGCCAGTGAGGGCACCCCAGATCTGCCAAGCTCCTCCTCTGCAGACCTATGGCCAGGCGCGGCAGCTAAACAGGCTGGGCTAGGCTGGTAGTGTGGGCCAGCCCACCTATGGGGAGCTCAGCAGGTCTCCAAATGAAGCCGGGAATGGGGAGGCTGATGTGGAAGCCTCAAACCCACCTCTCTCCTTCACTGCACCTGGAAGCCTGAGGGAACTCCAGCAGTCTGGGCGCAGATATCCAGAGTCCTCCAGACACGCAGAGAGGCCGGTGAGGGCACCCCAGATCTGCCCAGCTCCTCCTCTGCAGGCCCCTTTAACAAAATCTTTGAAGTGACTTTCTTTTAATAGTCTAAAACATATTTAATCATTTTATGTCCTTTCACCACATTAAAATGCTACATTTTAAAAACTGTAACTTTCTTAACTGGCTCAATCACAGTATGACCTTGTTTTTACTTGGTAAAGTTGATATGATTTTCAAAAACCAAAAATATACATATATATGTGCACATATATTCATATTTTAACCAGAAAAAAAAATAATTTTTAAAGGCATGCTGAGGTTGCAAGTAATCAGTTGAGCACTAAACCATTAAACAAGGCACCACAAAAGACAAAACCAAACAAAGGTTTTTCTGTCCCCAGTTTGGCAAGCTAAAGGGAATAATTTTCATTATGAACCTTGAGTCCAATAAGCCACATGGATCCTGCAACAGAAATGGCAACAAGCTTCTAAGTTAGTAAAAAACAAAAATTTTTTTTATTCGTACTGGGGATTGAACTCATGACCCTGTACCCACAAGGCAGGCGCCCATGCTGCTGAGCCAAACCCCCAGCCCTTGGTAACAAATTTAAAAAGTTCAAATGGGCAAAAAACAAAGTTAGTAACAGATTCAAACAGGTGGACAACCCAAATTACAAAAAACACTGAACATAGAGACAAATGGACAAAAACGAGCCTCAAAATACAAATGGGCCCCAATACCCCACACGGGCCTAGGCCCCCCAAACGGGCCTAGGCCACACACACCGGCCTAGATCCCCCACACAGGCCTAGGCCACACACATTTCAAACAGGTGAGAGCCCCCAGAATCTGGTGCAGAAGGAGCGCTAGCTCATCTGCAGTCACTGCCCGCATCCAGATTACAAATGGGCAAAAAAACACCACACGAGCTAAAGCTCAAAGTTACAAATGGGCCCCAAAAGCCCTAAATTACAAAACAGGCAAAAAGGCCCCCAGAATTTGTCTCATTTTATCTGCAGTTACAAATGTGTGCACTCAGATTACAAACAGGCAAAAAACCCCAAATACTTACAGATATTTAGCTGATTGGTGAAAAAACAATTTGGAGGGGGGGTCTCCCAGTACTCCTGGGTGAAACCCAAATCTTGTAATCCACAAATGAGCCCCCCCCAGAGTCCAAAAATGGGGCAAAACATGTTTTTTGAAAAAGCAACGCTGATTTATTTTATCTTGGGCTCAGTGACACAGTGCAGTTAGAGTATACAAAAGCTGTGTCCGCCTCAAAGCTTTCTAGCCTTTTGTAGATATCACAGTTTACAAAGTAAGGGGTTATGGGCATGGATCAGGAAATCTGCTAGGGAAATGTTTCTCTTAGCAAAGGACAGACTAGTCTAGCAGTAATTAACAGTCCTTTGTCAGCTTGTTTTAGCACCAAATCTGTTATTTATAGAGGGGAACAATGGTTAACATATCAATTAGGTTAGGTTCCCAGGGATTTACAATTCTTTACAGAGGGGAGCATTGATTAACATATCAGTTAGGTCACCCAGAGGAAAAAAATGCATACCGAACAATATGGCGGCTTTACAAGTACTTAGGTATAACACAAACATAATGAAGCTCTTTTTGCTAGTGTAGAGCACCGGCCCTTCACAGTTCCAAGAACTGCTGTTAAAGCCAGGCTAGTGACATTGAGAGAGAGAACCTCCTCCTGGACTGAAGCTGGACAGCTGTGGGTTAACTGTGCAGCTGAGCTCCCAGGGAAACTGATGGAGCTGAGCTCCCTGAGGAGCCTGCTGAGTGTAACCCCAGTTAGGTACAGGCACAGCTACTAGGTAACAGCAGTGGGGCATAGCGGGTTTGGAAAGCTCCGTCTGAATTCCCTGTCCTCTGATCCACCGTTCAAGCATCCCTAGTAATTGCTTACACAAACAGGCTTCCTTCAGGCCAACTCACCAGCTTTTCGCACAGAGCTGGGTGAGTGAAAGTCAGGTCAGTGCACTATAAGCCATCAGTTTGGGATCTCTGTTTCGGGGTTGCCTCCATAGCTGTGAATACTGAATACTGTGAATCCACAGAGAAATTAGTGGGCAGTGCCCCTGAGGACTGGAGGGACTGAAGAGGATTATTCAGGGCTCAGAGAAGGTATTGCCGAGCAGAGTCTGGAAAGATGACCAGATTTTCTTCCTGTAATCAGAGGTCTTGATGTCAGACTCCAGGGTTTATTTGGTGTTTGACCTGCTGGTTGGTGTTTAAGCAAACCAGACTTAAGTGCCATCTACTTTACACAGTCTTGGTAATGACTCGAGGAAATCATACATATGACAGCTTCATATGATAAATGCTAACATGGATTATTATAATTATCATGATGATTTCACATGCAGTTGTTTACTGGAATGCAGCTGTTCTAGCTGTCACCTCAGATGTGAGCAGACTGAATCCTTGGAGGTGGGTGGACCACAACAGAGGCCTGCAGATTTGGAAAAGAATCACACAGTTGTAGATCCAGCATCAGTGGAGTTGAGTGCCAAGTTTGGGAAACGCTTGTTATTTTCCTGAGATGACTGTAGGGTATGATAACTTTAGCACACTGTCTTTAGTGAGGCAAAGAATTTAGTTTTAGAGTGGCTGCAAGAGCAATGTTACAGTGATGTTGGAGATAATTATTTTTGCAACTGTGCTTAGAGAATGAAAGATTGGGTGCTCAGGGATAGTCTGCTGTGGACAGGTAAGGATGAAAGGAAGGAGAATCCTAGTTGGTATCCTAGTGAGGATAATTCTGGACATAGCAGCTGGGAGGTTGAGGCAGGTAGCGTGTGATAATACATGTCCCCAAACCTTCTATAGAGGTAATATCATGGTTCTGTGAGATCCATGGAGTAAGTTGCTTCACATACTTTCATGAAACAAAACTGTATCATGGACAAATAGAAAGTATAATCTAAAAGCATCCTACTGGAAGATCCTGTTTTATTCTGTATACTTCTTCCAAAGCAGCTCTTGGAGTGGCCAATAACATCAGAAACAGTATCTTACGGATCCAGACCACTGCACATGAATTGTGAAAACTCAATCCATTAATGAGAAAAAGAATCAAAACAGACAACTTTTGGGGAACAGACCATGTTTATAAAAGTTTGACTGATGAACAAATTTCTAATTATTTTAGGTGGTTAAGATTTGACCCAGTCTGGCCCGGGAGAAAGGTGAATGCCCTTGGTCTGCACGCTTCTGCCGAGTCTGGTGAGCCGTGTATCTGCTCCCCCACCCCTTTATATGAGTAGTACACTATCAGAACCAGGAGAGCCTCTAGGTGCACACAGCTGGAACCTGTTTCCAAGGAGCCAACATTTGAACCCATCTCCAGTTGGACGGAGACAGCCAGACTCTTGTAAGATCCTTTCTCCTGGATAATCTGTTCTATTTGTTTGTATTACACTGTTTCTAGCCATTCATCCATTTGAATGAAGCTATTTTTCCTGTCTTAGGTCCTTTGGGCCCCAGTACGTGACTAGGAAAAGAAATGCATAAGATAAAATGTAAAACAAACAAATGAAAAAAGCTCTTTTTGGGGATCGCCTGCATGTGGATGAATTTCTAATTTAGGGAGAATTTCTAAATCGTGATAAAAATCTCCAGATTTCTGGGAAATCATTTGCTGAAGGGCATGTGAAATGGTCCTGCTTGTGTCCACATTATAGACACTGTGCAAGGCTTGACAAGGAAGGGAAAAGAAAACACACTTTCAGCCCTGCTCTAGTCTTCCCTAACTAATTTCTTTTCTTAGGAAAGTTTTGGATGCCTCCTTCTTTTTTTCTTCCTTTCTATTTATTTATTTAGAGATAATATGTAGTGTGGGCTGGACTTGAACTCACTAATGTGGCCCAGGCTGGCCTCAAACTCACAGTGATCCTCTTGCCTCAGCCTCCCAAGTGCTGGCATTACAGGCATGTGCCACCGTGCCTGGCTTGGGTGCCCTTTGAAAACAAAGTTTCTGATTCTTTTCATCTTGCATTCCAAAACCAAAGGAAGTAACCACAAGAAAGTGGCAGGTTGAATGGAAGAAGGAGGAAGAGAACTGGAGGGGAAATGTGATCACCGTTCCCTGTGGAGGATGGTGAGGCTGTGTTTGAAAACAGTGACCACAGTTTCCTCATCATAAACTGTGAAGTGAACTCCTTGGTGTGTGAAAGCTGAGTAGCGCTTGCATTTGGGAAGAAGAATATAAATTCTTGTCATGACTACAGGATCAGTTTGAGTCAGTAAATTGGGCCTGAAGAGCAGTGGGACCAATTCCGTTGATGAAAGTCAAGTGAGTTATGTGTGGTGAGAGAGGTTCAGCACTCGTGACCTGGGCAGGTTCATTTCTGTCCCCCAGTCTGGCTCTTCCCAGCTTCCTGACAAACTCACTTTATGTGGCTTTAAAGGAATATCCCCTTGGACACATGAGGAGGTTGGGGGCAGATGTCAGACAGTATTGGTCCCGCAGTTTGCCTGCTGGGAGGAGGTATCTGAATGTATCAGCGATCGCAGTTTACATAAGGCTGACGAAACCTTAGGTGCATTAGTACTAAATAAACATGCATATTCTGCAATAAAAGCAGAGTTACCCCTTTGCCTTGTCAGACTGAGACCTGAGTGCTCAAACCCTGAAAAGTGAGAGGCGTTTTAGGAGGCAGACCTGCTGGTAGTGTTTGTTTACCTTACCTCTGGTGACATGGCCTACACAGCTAGCCTGAGAGGTTAAAGCCTCTCGGTGACATAGGGCACAGCTCACTCTGTCATCGATTTTTCCAACTGGTGCCTGTACCAGCGTCTAAATTGTTAATAGTTTGTATTTATGCTTCCATTGTCACTGGACTTCTGCTGCTGAACCTGGAAAAGGCTCCAATATGTTTAGTGAGCGCTGCGGACTTTCAGTCCTTTTTAAAGCCACTCTCATTTATAGATGAGAAGATTTAGGCCTGCAGAGGAAAATGAAGTCAATCACTGAGATAATATTAAAGGTCTGTTTTGAGGCACTGATTCCAGGTGAACAGTATGATCCCTGCCCTCTTGCAGATTGTGTGCCAATGGGAAACACTGACAAGTAAACAGTGAGTTGTTTGCCCAAGATCACATGAGTAATGCTGACCTGGAAATAGTATCCATGAGACCTAGACATAAATTCATAAATATTTTGTAATATCCTATGGTCAGTATGAAACTTTGCAGCTTTTGCTTTGACACATCTAACCTCCTTAGCATGCTTAAGGGCTTCACTGGGGCCACCCCTTAGACTGCACAAATAAATAAATGGATTCATTTGATTCTGGAAAATTGTCTTTGTTGCTTTAGTTTGCTCACTTCTTGCATGAGGAGATGAATGTGTTCTAGTGAATCAAGAGTCCCTGCAAGAGTCCAGTGGAACCACAGTTATTAATCCCAGGAGTGACCATCAGATGGCAGCATCGGGCTAATCAGTGTAGTCAAGTTGCCCCTGCCCCAACCTCTGAAACTTTAAAGAGGCAATTCTGAGCCAGTCTTTAATAACCTGGTTTTTGAAAAATTATAAGATTTTTTTAAAGAATCAATTTTACACCACTAGAAGAACAGTGAAGGCTAGGCTGAAATTTTAGTCTGCTCATTTCTCCACCTCCCTTGATTCCTAGATATAAGATGAAAATTGGCACATAAGCTTTCTTTGACTTGAGTCTATCCAAACTGTTGACATGTGAGCCTCCAGGGACCAAAACACTCGTCAAAGATCACACTAAGTAATTATCTTAGAAGGCAAATAACTCCAGATTTGTGTAGATTTGTTTTTCCCTTTTTATGTATTGTGATCAACATCTAATCTTGGGCAGCCAAACACAATCAATTTGGCTGTGGCTTATTGTACTGACTACACCAACTGCTGTCTAGAAAAAAGAAAGGCTTCTGTTTTCAGAGAAGTACATGGTGGCAAAATGCTCACTCTTAGAAAGACAAGGGTGGGCAAGGTGGGAAATTACACATGAAAAGAAGGGAGAAAGAGGAGAATGGAATCCAGGAGATGCCGGCTCGCTTTCTCAGCATGTCTCTCCAGTGCTGAGTTCTTATGTCTTTTCTCTGGCCCTTGCTTCCTCTAGACACCTCTACGGTGGTTATGGATCTACAGAGGACCCATTCACTGCTTCTGCTCTTGCTGCTGACCCTGATCGGGCTAGGGCTGGTGCAGCCCTCCTACGGCCAGGATCGCATGTACCAGCGGTTCCTGCGGCAGCACGTGGACCCCCAGGTGACAGGTGGCAATGATTATTACTGCAACTTGATGATGCAGAGACGGAGGATGACTAGTCCGAGGTGCAAGCCCTTCAACAGTTTCATTCATGAAGACATCTGGAACATTCGCAGTATCTGCAGCACCAGCAACGTCGAGTGCAAGAATGGTTTGATGAACTGTCATACAGGTGTTGTGAAGGTCACAGACTGCAGGGAGACAGGAAATTCCAGGGCCCCTAACTGCAGATATCGGGCTATGGCGAGGACCAGGCAAGTTGTCGTTGCCTGTGAGGGTAGCCCTGAGGTGCCTGTGCATTTTGATGCATAGACCATCCCATATTGTTTACACCAGTGGCTAGCCTCCAATTTACACCTAGATGGCAATGAGTGACACCCTAGAAAAGTCACAGGCTCTGTCTCCTTTGCTCATTTTTTCTATTTCTTCTGTAAAAGTCATTCTGTTTCAGATAGTGCATCTAAGAAAAAAGGAAACATATATCTATGAGTCTGAGCTTTTCTATAGTAAGCTTCTTATAATGCTGATCAGCTTAGTTTGTTCAGATTTTTATACTCTGTAATTTAGTCATAATGTATTTTTACTACATTTTAATAGCTTTCACCTCAGTTATTTTCGTACCCCAGGAGTTCTTTTTTTCAAGATTTCTAATTTTTAATTCATTTTATTTTTTATTTTAAAGAGAATAAACCAAAGAAAATGAAACTGAAGAAAGCTCATCAAAACAGAACAACGAGAGTGATGCAGGACTTTCAAACAAGACAAAAAGGAATAAACAATGGCTAACATAATTCGTCTTGTTATCTTCACCATAACTGCCCATACCATAAGACGTAAGGTCAAACAAAACAACGGAGTGATATAGGACTTCAAAACAAGATAATAGAAAATCAACCATGATTACCATGATATGTCCTATTATCTTCAAATAGCTGCTCATACCATCAAGCATAATAAAATCAAACAAAACAGAATAAAACCAAACCAGACAAAACCATGAAAGTGATACAAGACTTCAAAACAAGATTGTAGGAAATTGATAATTCTTTTTTTAGACAGCTTCTCTCCTTTCACTTTCTTGTTTTTTTAAATTTTATTTTAAAGAGATTAAGACAAAAGCGGACAGAACAAAGCAGATCAGAACAGAACCATGTAAGTAACACAGTACTTCGCCACAAGACAACTGGATTTTAACAGTAGCTACCATAATGTCTCTTTCCTTGAAACAGTTGAGCATACCTTCATACACAATAATATTAAGCATAACAAAATAGTATAAAACAATTCAAGAGAATGGAAGTATTACAGGGCATTCATAACCCAATAACAGACAATGAACAATGGCTACTATATTATCTCATTTTCCATAAATTTTGTTTATACTATCACACATATTAAAATCCAATAAGACACAACATGATAGAACCAATGGAAGCAGAAGAACAAAAGTATAATAGGACTTGAAAACATGATATTAAATCAGCAATGGCTTCCATAATGTCTTGTTTTTTTTCAAAATAGCTGTTCATATCATCACACATAATAAAATCAAACAAAACAGAATAAAACCATTCCAACTAATGAATGAAAACACTATAAGATTTCAAAGCAATGTAATGGGGAATCATGATTACCATAAAATCTTACGTACTCTTACACTAGGGAGATTACACAGTATTTATACATGTGAGTTTGATTTATTTCACTTATGAGAATGGTGTCAAGCTGCGCCCATTTGTTTATAAATATCTCAAAGTGATCATTCTTTATAGCAGAGTAGTACTCCATTGTACAAAAATACCACAACCTTTTTATCCATTCCTCAGTTGGTGGACACTTAGGTTGTTTCCAAGATCTGGCGATTACAAATTGTGCTGCTATAAACATGGATGCACATATATCACTGTGGTATGGTGTTTTCAGTTCTTCTGTGAATAGGCCTAGAAGCAGAACAGCTAGGTCAAATGGGACTTCCAATCCCAGCTTTTTGAGGAATCTCCAGACTGACCTCCACCATGGTTGCACAGTCTAAACTCCCACCAACAGTGCAGGAGAGTTCCTTTTTCCCCATAGCCTCTCCAGCATTTGTTGTTGGTGGTTTTCTTGATCCTGGCCATTCTTTCTGGAGTGAGATGGAATCTCAGTGTGGTTTTAATTTGCATTTCTCTAATGACTAATAATGATGAACATTTTTTCATGTATTTATTATACTTCTTCATCTGAGCACTGTGCATTCATCTTGGATGCCCATTTTTGGATTGGGTCTTTGAATTTTGGGGGTCTGATTTTTAAAAAAATTCTTTATATGTTCTAGACAGAAGCCCTTTGTCTGAGGGGGCAGTTCACTAAGATTTTTTCCAAGTTTGTGGGTTTTCTTTTCACTACACTGGAGATTTCTTTTGACATGCAGAAACTTTTTAATAAAATGTGATCCCAGTTACTGATTCTGGGAAGTATTTTCCATGCAGTTTGATTCTTGTTCATGAATTCTCTACCTATCCCTATGTCTTCAAGATTGTTACCTAATTTGTCTTCCAACAGATTTAGTGTTTCTATTTTATATAACAGTTTTGGGAGAATGGCCATTTTCACAATATTTATTCTTCCTATCTATGGACAAGGGATGTCTTTCCATTTTCTGAGATCCTCTTCAATTTCTTTTTCAGGGTATTGTAATTTTCTCTGTATAGATCTTTTACTTCTTTCATGAGATTAATTCGTAAGTATTTCAATATTTTGGATGCTAATGTGAAGGGTGTGGCTTCTCTTATTTGTCTCTCAATTTTTTTTAGTGCATAGGAATGCTATTGATTTTTGAGTATTGATTTTGTATCCAGCTACAATGCCGAATTTATTTATTATATCTAGGAGTCTTTCAATGGAGTTTTGGGGGTCTTTTATGTAGAGAATCATGTCATCTGCAAATTGTGATAATTTAACTTCCTCTTTCCCTATCTTTACCCATTTTATTTCTCTCTCTTGCCTAATTGCTCTGGCTAGTATTTTCAGTACTATGTTGAATAGGAGTGGTGATAAGGGACATCCTTGTCTTGTGCCTGATTTTAAGGTAAATCAGTTTTAGGCCATTTGATATGCTGATGGCTGTTGATTTGTCATAGATGGTCTTTATCATATTGAGGTAAAGACCATCTATTCCAATTTTCTGTAAGGTTCTTATCATAAATGAGTGTTGAACCTTATCAAAGCTTTTTCTACATCTATAGAAATGATCATGTGATACTTACTTTTGGCTGTATTGATAGGTGAATTGCATTTATTGATTTACCTATGTTGAACCATCCCTACATGCCTGGGATGAATCCCACTTGGTCGTGGTATATAATCTTCTTGATGATTTGCTGCATCCTATTTGCCAGTATTTTATGCAGGATTTTTGCATCTGTGTTCATGAGAGAGATTGGACTGTAGTTCTCTTTTTTAGTTAGGTTTTCCTCAGGTTTTGGTACTAGAATAATATTTGCTTCCAGGAATGACTTAGGAAGAACTGCTTCCCTTTTGATTTCATGGAGGAGTTGGAGGAGTGTTGGCATTAAGTCTTCTTTGTATTTCTCATAGAATTCGCACTGAATTCGTCTGGGCCTGGCCTCTTTTTTGTAGGTAAGGACTAATTACATTTTAAATTTCATTAATAAAAATTGGGTTATTCAGCAGTTTTACATCTTCTTGACCTAGCTTTGGTACTTCATATGTTTCTAGGAATCTGTCCATTTCTTCTGTGTTATCAAAACCTATGAGAGTAGAGATTTTTGAAATAGGTGTTGATGATATTCTGTATTTCCACACAGCCTTAGTGATCTCACCTTTTTCATTCCTTATTGCATGAATTTGAGTTTTTTCTTTCCTTTTAAAAATAAGGTTGGCTAGAGGATTATCAGCTTTATTTTTTCAACAAACCTACTCTTTGATTCATTGATTCTTTGGATTATTTTCTTAGTCTCTATTGCATTAATCTCTGCTCTGATTTTCATATTTTCCTCCCTTTTTTTGGCTTTGGGCTTGACTTGCTCTTCTTTTTCTAAATGTTTGAGGTGTAGCATCAGGTTGTTTATTTGTGTTCGTTCTGTTTCCTGATGTGAGAACTCAGTGCAATAAATTTTCCTCTGAGGACCACTTTCATTGCATCTCTCAGATTCCAGTAAGTTGCATTTGTATTTTCATTTGCTTATATAGGTATTGTTTAATTTCTTCTTTAATTTCCCCCGTGACCCACTGATTTCTCAAGAGTGTATTATTCAATTTTTGTGTGTTTGTGGGGTTTTTGCAGTTTCTTTTATCATTAGTTTCTAGTTTCATGGTGCTGTGGCCTGATAACATGCATGGAATAATTTCAACTCTTTTGCATTTATTTAAATATGTTCTGTGGGCTAATATATGGTCTATTTTAGAGAATGTCCCATATGCTGCTGAGAAGAATGTATATTCTGATGGTGTTGGATGGGACACTCTGTATATTTCTATTAATTCCATTTGTTCACAGGTGTGGTTCAGTTCTGTTATTTCTTTGCTGATTTTCTGTCTGGTTATCTGTCCCTTGGTGTCAATGGTGTGTTAAGGTCTCCTGTTATAGTTGTGTCATTGCTAATTTGGTTTTTCATTTCTGTTAATACTTTCTTTGTATAGCTGGGTGCTCTGGAATTTGGTGCATATATGTTTAAGTTTGTTATCTCTTCCTCTTGAAGTTTTCCGCTAACTAGTATATGGTGACCTTATTTATCTCTTAGGATCATTCTTAGTTTAAAGTTCACATTGTCTGCAAACAGAATAGCTACCCCTGCTTTTTTGGGGTTCCTGTTGGATGAAGTATTGTTCTTCATCTTTTGACTTTCAGTCTATGAGTTTTCTTTTGGGTTAGATGGGTTTCTTGTAGACAGCATATGGTTGGATGTTGTTTCTTGATCCATTCTGCCAGTCTGTTTCTTTTAATTGGTGAACTGAGACAATTTACATTAATGGTTATAACTGTATATATTGGTTCATTGTTGACATGTTATCTTTCTGCTGTTGCATCTTTATCTTTCCATTCTGTTTAATTGCCTTGCTTAGTGGTTTTTTTCCTATGTGTATCTAGACTATCTTTTTGTATTCTTTGCAGGGTTGGTTTGGTGATCATGAAGTTCTTCACCTGTTCTTTGTCATGGAAGTATCTTATTTCTCCATCAATTTTGAATCACAGTTTTGCAGGGTACATCAGTCTAGGTTGGAAATCATTTTCCTTTAGGATCTGAAATACTTCACTTCATGATCTTCTTGACTTCACAGTTTGTGTTGAGAAGTCTGCTGTGATTCTGATAGGTTTTCTTTTATAGGTGATCTGTCTTTTCTTTCTATCAACTTTTAATATTCTATTCTTATGTTGGATTTCTGGAATGGTG